GGTGGGGGGGTCCCAAGACCGATGTGGCTAATCCCTATGGAGTCTCCAAGTGACTAGCCTCCCACAGAGCCTTGCAACTAGTTAGCCCAATGGTCTAGCCTGGATTGTTTTCCTGGCCTGGACTTGCCCCTCAGTCTAAAACAGTCTTTGCCATTAGGGGCCACGGGGCATTTTTCCCCACATCCCATCCCCACACCCCACGTTCAGCAAATCGCGTTGTAAAAACAAACAAAAAACAAAACAAACAAACAAACAAAAGTCTTGACTAATGAACAGCCCTTCCCTGTAGCAAAGATTCTCTTCAGAGTTCTTTTAAATGTTGTGTTTTTTGATTCCGTGTCTTATTTCTAAAAACTAAATGTGTATGTAAAAGTGTAATTTTCTATTAACTAGTTCACCTGCCCTTCTCTAGTTAAGAAATGTTAATTTCAGACTCACATTTAGGAAGATTCAGAAGAGTTTTACTGATCATCCAGGAATTCTCAAAGTGTGTTTTAAAAGGGTTTATTTTGTGTGGTAAAATTGTCAAGATTTGAATTATTGGAAAGTGTAATTTCTGTGGTGGTATGTATCATATTTGAATTATCGAGAAAATTCGATCCAGCACACCCGGGTTTGTTTTTGGGGGGAGGTAATGGTTGGTTTTCTCTGCAACCGTTAACAGAGAATTTTCTTTATTTAGCGAAACCCGGTTCCTCAGACAGGCTGTGGCCATTACACAGCTCACTGAGACTTGGAAGTTGAGGAATGTAAAGAGGTCAAACTCTGGCATTGAAACAGACAGGAAATAAACAAAACCTACCAATATGTAAAGATATTACAGAAATTAGAAGAATGAGTCAGAAGCGGAGAGTTCGAGGTCAGTGGGAAGAATTATTCGTATAAATCTTCTTAAAAGAAGTAGGTAATTATTAATTAAAAAATAAAGAAACAGGAAAAAAGTCCCCCCACATCGCTTTCCGACCCCGGAGTTAGGGTGCGCAGAATGCCCTCTGGGAGCTCCAGAGAAAGTAAGCAGTGTCGGGACATTTACTAAGTGCTCTCTGCAGAGCATGAGTTTAGAATGCGGTTAGTTTATGCACTGACTCCCCTTTCCACGAATGTTTCAAGGGGCTCTTTCTGGAAGTTGAATCACGTTTGTGAGATTGTTTTAAGCCATGTGTCAGTCCCCCAGCGCTTTAAAGCAAAACGGAAGCAAACAACTTGGGCACTTGGAAAAGTTTTGCAATTAATGAGCGAATGAATGAAATCCGGCCGGAACGCTGGAGACTGGAAGGGAAGCAGGATTTTTCTCCGCGCGCTGCGAATACAGCGTATGCAAAACTTAGGACCCAGGGCAGGCCGGGCTTTGGAGACACTCAGTCTTACTCAACCCTGAACACCTGAGAACAGGTGCGGTTCTGAGTGAGACTAGGACCTGGCACGAACTAGCCTGGGGCCAGAAGAGATAAGGCCTGCCGGGAAGAGAGTTCCAAGCTTTGTCCATTCTGCTCTTGCCCTCGGCTAATGGCTTCGAAGGCCAAGCTGTGACAGCCCCGGGGCGCACTCGGTGCCTTCTTCTGCTCAAATAGGTGCTCGCCTAGGACTGATTCCCAACCCGTGCAAGTCATTTCCTTCTATAACTGGTGGGTCTTTGCAATAAATTGAGCGATAAAATCAGAGGGACAGAAAGAGAAAACAGACAACTAGAAAAGTCACAAGTGTTTCTTGGGAAGTCTAGGGCGCGGGTTGTTTGGACTGTGGCAGGGCTGTGGGGCCCAGACTGGGAGCGGCGCGGAGCGGGACCGGTTTTCCGGGGCTGGCAGCTGCCTGGAAAAAGTTTCCTGTGGAACACTCGCCAGCGGGGGCGGGGGCAGGGGCGGCTGGCGCAGCAGTGGATGTGGGAGGGGGCGGGAGGGCCGGGGGAGGCCGCGAAGGGCCTGCTCGCAAACCGTTATAGTCCTTCAGCACCTCCCTCGGCCGGTGGCCCTCCTAGCCTGCCTCCCCGCCGGGCGGCTGCCCACCTGGCGACGTGACGCTGCACCAATCCCTTTCGAGCTGCTCCCGGGTCCCTTCTCCTTGCACCGCCCCCCTCCCTACCCTGAAAGAGGCGCACCCTGACGGGGCAGACACAGTGCTCTCGCCGCAGAGCACCCTTCTAGCTTCTTCATCTCCAGGACAGACGCTCAGGCTCCTCTCTCGCCTTAGCCCAACCTGCTTTCCCGCCTCACAAACTCCGGTTTCCCTCCACTCCCAACTCTTTTCACTCCACGTTTCCCCTCCTCTATCTCCCACGCCACGAACTCCAATCCCCCAGCTCCTTTCTCCCGCCCTCCCCTTTCCCTCTCCTCCCTTCAACTCTTCATCCGCTTCTACCTCAGACTGCGCGCACTCAATTCAGTCGCCCACTCCCGTTCGGCTCCTCGAAGCCATGGCGGGACCTGGGGGCTGGAGGGACAGGGAGGTCACGGATCTGGGCCACTTGCCGGTGAGTAGAGGACGCCCATCGCCCCCCGAAATGCTCTCTTTTGGTGGGCTCTGAGTACCAGGGGGAGGGAGCGGACGCCCTCAAAACGGGCTAGACCAGGACTTCGACGGGTCCCGCGGGCGCGGAAGGGGACCCTGGGCCGGCATGCGGAGAAGGCGCCCCCTGGGCACCCGGACCGCACCAAACTCCAACGAAAGGCAAAGGCACGGGGTGGTGGGAAGGGGAGACCGAGAGAAGAGATGGCAGTGGGGTGCTGCGGGCCCTAAACAGCGGGGCATTTTAAATATGTGACCCGCCTTGTCTAGCGGAGCTCCGGTACCTGTCCTAGCCCGCTTTTTCCAACAGAGGCCAAAAAGTGCAACGTCGCGTGTCTTCTTGAGTACTCCTCCTTGTTATCCCGCCGCCCCGTCCTTTGCTGCTGCTTTTGCCGTCGGAGATGCCTACTTGCGGGGTGACCTTTACTTTTAGGTGACAGCGACTAGAAAATTGAGGCGTTTGAGTCCCACTTTTCTTATTTTCTAATACACTTTCTAAAACCTTATTCTTGCCAGGGCAATGTTCCTGATTTAGTGTTGTGAGAGTGAAAGAAGTCGACGCCGTTTGGGGAAGGAGTGAATTCTGCACACTCCATTTTTTTTTTTTTTTTTTTTAAATATTGTGTTCTTTGCCCAACCAGATTTAGCTTTTTCTTGTGGTTTTAATTTGTGGGCTCTTCTTTTCCCGAATGCCCAGCTTTCCTCTGGAGTTGTAATTGATTGGTAAACTATTATCGCCATCGTAATTAGTAGACTTATTATTTTGGCAGCGCAGTTTATTTCATTGGCATCTGGTTTGTGGCTAATACTGGATTCCACCCAAATCCGTGTTTCAAGTTTCCTTTTTAGATTGGCATTTCACTCGCACCCTGTCTTGAATGCAAAAGGCCCCAGGATTCTCCGAAAGGGAATAAGCAGGCACTGCGCTGGAATGATCACCAGGCAACTGTAGTTCAGGACAGTGTCCTGCTTGCTTTGAAAAAAGCTAAATATTAACCTTAAGGTTATAGGACTATTCAAAGTCGATTGACTTAATTTTACACATATTTGGCATTTAAAGAATGTGTTTTTGATTGTGACAGAAGCCTGTCTCGCTCAAAAATAGGGCATTCCCAAAGCCTTCCCTATATGATTTTACACTAGATGCTGTATGTGGAGAGGTAAGGTGGTACACACGGGTAACATTTTACCAAATTGTTCTCTGCCATTTAAAAAAATCAGTGCAAACGTGAATTACAGATATTAGTGTTGCGGTTATTTATGCAGCTTCATAAAATATATCACAGAACTTTTAAAAATTAAATCTTTTCTCATTCTGCATGCACCCAGAATTTCTTCCTTTCAATGTGGATACATGAGATTTCCGGACTATGGAGGCCTCAATTGGTGGTTTCCTTTCTAAGCAGAACTTTTATATTCAGACTAGATTTGCACCCAAGTAAAAGTATAAAACCAAGGAATAAAATGTTACCCTTCCTCCAACATTCTCTGCCTATGGTTGGGAAAAGAGAAAAAAGCAAACTAGGGCAGATATGTGAAACTGATGCAGGCAGGTGGGCAAACTGAAATAAACTCCCTTCTAAATATCACTAAACGGGTGAATGGGAAAGACCTCATAGAAATGATAGGGCAGGGAATTCCAAACCCAAGGAAAAAAAAGAAGAAAAGGTTTTACTGCCACACACAAAAAAGAAAAAATGGGGGAAGTGGCCCAGACTAACTGACCCGGTCATGGCCCTGGGACATAAGAATTTGGTGGAGCCCAGGAGATAAGAGGAAAGGCTGCAGTCTTTACATTGCAGTTCAGTGGAATATTAGTTTCCTGGAGGTTGGTGGAGTGGGTGTGTGGGGAGGGTAGAAAGATAAGGTTGGTTTTTAATGTAAGGGGAGTAGTAGCGAGAAGATACAAAACTTCAGGACATTGATGCTTGGCCTCATTTTCCAGACTTCATGAAAGTCTCATAAAGTCCTCAGATTCTAACAATTTCTAAATTTTATATATGAGACATTTTGTTTCATTTGTGGGTTTTCACTCTCTGAGCAATTTATGCATAATTCTCCCCTGTCCTCAAACACCCAGATTCAAACCCTAAGAAATCTAGCAGAAGAGCAGTAGCATGCCCTTTAGAATTTTCTTTACTATCAAATTTTTAGACATGGAAAGTTATTGTTGCTTTGGTCACTGAGTTACGTTTTTCAGCGATTTGGGGTTTCTTTACGTTTGATTTATTTTCTGACTCTGAAGAAAAAAAAGCAAATGAAGAGGTGAAGAGAAGTCTGAATCAGTTGTGTTGAAGTTTGCATTTTGATGCAAAGTAGAGTTGATAAAGCAAGTAAAGAAACCTTCATATGATGGTATCCCTTGCAGTAATTATCCTCAATAGGACATATGTGAAGGTCAGAAAATTGCCATCTGTAAACACCAAGTATACCAATTTGGCAGCAGCCAGACAATGAGGGAAGATTCAAACCTTGGAGTTGCAAACCGAGAAAAAACATTCAGAATGTGGAAGAATAAATAAATATGGCTCTAGTTTAAAATGGACACATTATGTCCTTTGCAGTCCTAGCCAGCTAAATGACCACAAGACAAAGACCCTTGAGGGAGGATAAACTTGCTTTACAAATTGAGACTTGAAGAAATTGGTAGGTTATTTGGTATTTTTGTTATTAGATAGATATTATTTTTAAACCCAAAAGAGTAAGCAGGAGTGAAAACTGGGAAACAAGAAAGGGTGAGAAAATTATATAACTTTCAAAATTAAAACCTTCACTTTTATACAATGATATAACTTTTTCACATAATGCACTAAAGTCAGAGACAAAATAAGAGAGCCAATGTAATTACAATAGATCAATTCCATTATGTTTGTTAATTAATGGGTTACTGTAATTTTCTGATTTTCTATTGAATAAATATTTTCTGCAGGTGAAAACACAAAAAAGAAAGTGCAGAGATTTATGGTTTGTGTTTCCTTTCTGAAAAGAGAAGTATAAAGTTTATGTCTTGATATATATCTTTGTAATATATGTGTGTATATATGTATATATATTCACCTTGCCCACCAGCAATACCTAGGGATGTGTGTGTTTGCCTCTCTCTATGTGTGTGTATATATATACATACACACACACACACACGCACACGCATATATATGTTTGTTTTGATGTGTGTGTGTGTATATATATAATCATATATATATGACCGTGTGTGTGTATGTATGTGTGTATATATGCGTGTGTGTGTGTGTGTGTGTATATATATTCCTAGTATGCCTGTGTCCTTGAGACTGGAAACTATTTCTTCCTCTCCAAATCTGTCATGTCTTTCACTATGACTATCCCCTTTGCCTTCTGTGCCCAGTGTGGTAATGACATTCCTCACGGCTGTGGCCTTGGTATTTGACACTGCCATGTGTAGTCCTAATCTATATTGGGGTCAGGATTAGACAGGCCGTGAGGGGACAGTAGTGGCAGAGGTTATCTGAAATAGCACATGATCCAAAAACTATATTTGAAATACATTAGGCTTATATTTAAGTATGACTTCCAGCTCTACCCAGACCAAGCCTGCTATCCACATTTGGTCATGAGAAATTTCACACTTTACCAAGTTCCTTAGCCCCTGTTTAGAAGCAGTTTTACCTTCATTTCAGTCAACTATGATTGAAATATTCAGCATAATCCTCAATTGCATATATATAGAGCATCACCTCCGCATAACACTGCACATCAGTTTATTTTCTGTCTTTTTTCTTCTCCAGTCTCTAGCGCAATGGTTTTCATATGGTAGTGCACAAGAACAGTGCACAAAAATTAAGAATAATTTCGAGATTTTGGGACCCATCATCAAAAATTCCGATTTCATAATTCTATGATAGGTCCAAGGAATCTGTATTTTTAACAGTTTTACCCAGATGATTCTCAGGTAGCGAGAGTCTATACAGTCTACAGTTTGAGAAACACTGGTCTGGAGGAAAAGATTTCCCCTTTAACGCCACCATGTAAATTGTGAAGCCCATTCCTCTATCTCTGAAACTCACTCTGGCACTCATCTTGCCATATCCATCCCTTTCATGTTCTCTCTCCAAAAACTCTTTTCATAAGATTGCTGTTTCTAATATTACAAGTAAAAGGAGAAAAGCCTCTGCTATCTCCTTCAAGGTACTGTGCAGTCTCCTTCTTTTTGCAGCCTGACTGCTGGAGAGTGTTTCCTCACTCTCCTTTACTATCCTAAATTTGAAATTTCTTGCTACTCATGTTGACCATTTTTGGTTCCCTTTTCTCCTTAATCTCTGCCGTATTTGGTTCTGTGGATCAGCCTCTGCTTTGAAATTCTCTCCCTTGACCAGTTAACACTGCTTTCTATTGGCTCTTTTCCTTCCAGTTACTCCCATCCCTGGCTTTTATTAAGATTAGCCATCAAGATGGTCTTTCTTCCCTGCTCTTGAATTCAGGAGACAGAAACAACTCCCGAGAATTTGAGATTTCAGTGGGCAGGGAGACTAGGACTTTTTAACTGCAGAAGATAATTTAGATGCATAGAAAGAGATAACGAAAGTACAACAGGTTTGTCTAACAGTTTATGGTTCAAAAATGTTTTAAGACTTAGATTTTTAGTAATTTATTATAAGACAAACTTTAGAAATTAATTTCTTCTTTACTGACCATTTTGTATACCCAAATGGGACATCAAGACACACCAACCCCCCAAATAATCTCCAAATTGGTATAGCAGTCATAGATACGAACATCTATCCTCTTCTGTTTTTCTTATCCCAATGTGGCAGGGCAGAGGAAAGGACCAAATAATTATGGAGACCCCTCTGACATGAAACTTTTGTTTTCACAGTGACCAAAAAGATTGTTCCCTTCCAATTCTTCCTTCCTTGGAAATCCAAAATAAACTTGCTCTGACTGTAAGTCCAAAATATATGAGGAATTTGGCGTTGTTAACCTAGTATTAAGCATAGTCCTTCTCCTCTTTTCCCCAATTTAATGTTTAGTTTTGAAAGAGAGTAGCATGGAGATGGGGAACAAAAAATAGCATATAGGACTAAAGAAAACAATATAGTCTTAGAATATATGAATACTAAGTTGAGCTGCCTTTAAGGTTAAATTTTTTAAATGTTCTTTTATTAAACATGAGTATGAAAGATGGTTTGGTCATTTGAGAGCAGAAAACAAGTTTCCTGACATAGATATGAGGCCTCCATGAATTTCTACAGGCATTTTATTCTAGTCTATTTCCTTGGTGTCTGTTTTGAATAGTTAGATAACTGTATTCAAATCAGGGTAAAGTTTTTATGTTATTGAGGACTAGAGAAAGGAATAAAGAAATTTAAGACTGTGCTCAAAGATTCAAAAATACAGGTTGTACAGATGTTACAATAATTCTCTAATATATGTTATCTTTTCCAGCTAAAATGCAGCGTTAACTATAGCAAAGAATAGTTTACCAATAGGAATCAGGTAACATGTTTGATTATTTTGACAGATGGCCGAAGACTGTTTCTCCAGAATTAACAATGTCTAAAATAAATCCCTCAATCGTATCCATCACATAAATATGCTACGGTGATAAAGTCTTCAAGTCAGTCCCTAGTAACTTTTTTGTTGGCTTTTCTCTTATAAATCTTTCAATGAGTTATAACAAAAGTGATATGCTTAATAATAAGGATAATATAATGATCTATTTTTACTTCTTAGATCCTAAAAATTGTCTTTTTAGATAAATTACATGTTTGTTGGGAGTATATTTCCTGAACTGTTTGTTTGAAATAACTGTGTATTGTGATCTTTGATGATCATTTTGAAAAACTAAGCTGCTAGGCTGCTGCTTTATCTAACAATGCTTTTATCAATTCAGTGGAAACATCTAGATTTTAGAATGATTGATAGGTTGTGATTTTCATCTGTAGAATTTTAGAGCTGGGAGATTACCTAGCCCAATACTTTTATTTTATATATGTGAAAACTGAATCCCAGAGAGAATAAATAACTTACCCAGAGTCATATAGTTAATTAATGGTAGAGCTGGGGCTAAAATTCAAGTCTTCTGACTCTCTGTCCAGTTGGATACTTATTGAATGATGTAATCCCAAAGCTGTGTCATTTTCCTATGAGAGTTTTGCTAGATTACACAAATATCATGGCAGTTTTAAGGAGTTTATAATTTCATTCATCTAAGTTGCATATGCTCAGTAGTTTTCCTGTTTAGCTTGTATTTATCACAGCAATCAAAATGTTTTCAAACAGGATTAAACAACGTTTGTGTATATAAAATAAACTTTCAATAAGGTATGTGAATTTCCAAGAATTTGCCAATGTTCTTACCATTTTGTGTATAAATTGGCATCTACTCATGCCTCATATAAGTTTTACTAAAATAGCAAAATAGGCTGCTAGACTAAAAGTTCAAACAGTGATAAAATTCAAGAAACCGTGTTTTGTGGTGAACAATCAAGGAGTACCCATATTTAAAGGTAAGAAAACAATACTTGAAGATAACTATGGAAGCCTCACAACTCTATCCCAAAACATGTTATGTTTTGTTTCCTATGATGCCACATTTAGGGTTAAGTCACAGAAAACGTCACTTTGTGCCATGAACAGGTATTTAGCAGATGCAAAGTTCAACTTTTAAAAAATTGTCTAATTTTCTTAAAATGATGCTCTTTTAATATCATGATCTTGCTTTGTCATTCATATTTAGAGACGGTATTTCTTTCTTAAGAGCTGTTACAGGTTGGTGCAAAAGTAACTGCAGTTTTGCCATTATTCTAATGCCAAAACCACAATTACTTTTGCATCAACCTGTAATTCAAGTAAGTCATCTAAACTTTGTATCCAACATCTAGTCATTATTGTTGCATGTTAAATTTTCTGCTTGTCTAGTTATCACTCAAAAGAATAATATCGGCTGGGCGCGGTGGCTCACGCCTGTAATCCCAGCACTTTGGGAAGCTGAGGCAGGTGGATCACAAGGTCAGGAGTTTGAGACCAGCCTGGCCAACATGGAGAAACCCCGTCTCTACTGAAAATACAAAAGAAGCTGGGTGTGGTGGCACACGCCAGTAATCCCAGCTACTCGGAAGGCTGAGGCAGGAGAATCACTGGAACCCAGGAGGCGGAGGTTGCAGTGAGCCAAGATTGCGCCATTGCACGCCAGTCTGGGCAACAAGAGTGAAACTCTGTCTCAAAAAAAAAAAAAAAAAAAGTAATATTAAAATAAAAGAGTACTTCCATTGCAAGTAAATGAACTTATTTCTATTTTATCTTTCTAATTACCTCATTGTTATGCCTCAGTCTTACATAATTGATAATTGTGTGCATTTTACAGTTTTATGATAAATAATTACATGACTACTTAATGTCCATACTGCTTATTCTTTTTAATAAATGAATATAGTCAGTTCAAGGAGATTGTGACATGTCTATTCTTTTGGTAAATGACATTTAGGTTCTTCCCATGTAAATTTAAACAGAACAAGGAAGATTGGAAATACTGCTTAAGATAGTTGAATGCTCGCCTAATTTCCTACAAAGATTGACAGTTTTTGTTTTACTTTTTTGCAGGATCCAACTGGAATATTCTCACTAGATAAAACCATTGGCCTTGGTACTTATGGCAGAATCTATTTGGTAAGTTGACTTACATTATTTATTCATTCTTCATTTTCTAATGACAACAAAGATTGTGAGTCAGACTTTCACAATGCAAATCACATAATGCCAAAATATGGCATTTCACTTTGAGAGATAAACCAAATTAGATAGCCCAGTGACACCTGTAAGAATTACTGTTTATTATCACAAAAGTAATGGATTGGCTAATCTGTAGTGAACCAACCAACCAAACATAACATCTAAAAATTAGCAGAAAATAAATAAAGTCACCAATGGAAAATGGAAGTAATTCAAATAAGATATACCCAATAAGATATCACTCGTATTATAGTATATATCCATACCATTCTAATTACTCACATTCAACTTAAAACTGAATATTATTAAAAGGAATGTTTCCATAACATTCTATATCATACTGTGTACTTGAGTGTGCACATGTGTGATAAAATTTGCTAAAGAATCTAACAAGAAAAAGTCTGAATTTATTTAGTGATTACTTATTAAACACTAAGTATGTGCAGATGCTGTGATAGTCTCTGGGAATAAAATGATGAACAAAGCAGATAAGGTCTCTGCTTTTTTGTGGCTTATGGTTGAGAAATGTATTGATTAAGTTTGTATATGTTATATGTGTGGGGGTTGTTGGAGCCACGCATTACATAAGTAAGCACACAAATAACTGTATACTTCTGTATCTGTGGGTTCCACATCCATGGATTCAACCAATATTGGATCAAAAACTTAAAAAATGCATAATGTATAGACTTTTGTTCTTGTCATTATTTCCTAATCAATAAAGTGTAACAACTATTTACATAGCATTTACATTGAATTAAATGTTATAAGTAATCTAGTCTCACTTAAATTATACTGGAGTATATGCGTAGGTTATATGCAAAAAAAATTACTAAGCCATTATATATCAGGGACTTGAGCATCCCCTGATTTTGGTGTACACGGTAGGCCCTGAAACCAGTACCCCACAGATACTGAGGGATGACTGTAATTGCAACTGTGATATAAGATCTGTAAGAAAATTCTTGGTGATATAAAAGCATAAAGCAAGGGGGTTTAATTTAGATTGAAAGGTCAGTGTTGATCTCCCACTCCCTGGAAAGGGAAAGTGACCATTAAACTGATATCAGGAGGATAAACGTGAGGTAACCAAAAACAGGTGTGGTTGTGGAGGATGATGTTACTACATTCTAGGTGGAGGTATGGACAGTGTTAAGTGCTGGTTTGGGGCAGAGTGTTTTAGTAGCCATATCACACTGATCAGGTACCTTTCTACTCTCTAATAAGGGGAATTGACATTTTCTCAATCTTGTATAATGTTCTATACAATTGCAGTGCTCTTTTTTCCCAGGCCTGTTGCTAAAAAAACGGATTACTGTCCTTAGGCTGATCCTTACAGCAGACTGATCACAGGGCCTCTACATATAGGTTGTGTAGAGGTGTCTTAATATAAGCCCAGAGGAAGGGGCTTCTTTCTTGTTCAGAAAAGGGTGCCTTTTTTCTTGCCAAGTCTTGCAACTTTGGGACTAATCTACACAGAGGGGCTTCTTTTCTTATTCATCTGCCCAAGTAGGAATGTAGGATGCTTTTTAAACTTTGCACAAAGCTCCTATAGGGCCTGCTGCTGTGGCTCACTCCTGTAATCCCAATACTTTGAGAGATGAAGGCAGGAGGATTGCTTGAAGCCAGAGCTTTGAGATGATCCTGGGCAACAAAACAAGACACCATTTCTACAAAAAATTAAAAAGAAAAAATTATCCCGGTGCAGTGGGTGTGCACCTGTAGTCTTAGCTACTCAGGAGTCTAAGGCAGAAGGATCACTTGAACCCAGGTGCTTGAGACTGCAGTGGATTATGTTTACACCACTGCCCTCTAGTCTGGGTGACAGAGCAAGACCTTATCTCTTAAAAAATAAAAATAATAAAATAATAAATTAAATAAAGCACCCATAGCATAGAAACTGAGTAGTAGAAATAGCATGTGGACAGGTCTTAAAAACAGAAAGAACCTTGGTGAATATAGGGAACAGAGGGAATGTTAGTATTTATGACCAAATCTTTTCAAACCATTTTGATCATATCTATTAACAGATCCAATAAGCTGTAGACGGTGATATGATATAGACTGAAATATATTGTTTATGCTACCTCAGTTGCATCCTGTGCTGAAGATTATTTAACATTTATGTGATCTAGGTCACTTTTGCCACCTTATACATAGATACCTACATCTCATACATAGAATATTTATGGTACCTTTACAGTCTCCATGGCTCTATGCACATTTTAGTTCCTTAGGGTGTGTGTGTAAGTGTCTGTGTATACTTGTTCTGATTCAAATGTACAGAGTCACCAGATGTAAGAAATAAAAAACAGAGTCATATAAGGTAAGAAGCAAGGTTAAAATTAGGCAACACAGAAAGATGGCTGCTCATTATCATTCATGTGATAACGAACTGTGATGGCACCAAAAGAAGAAAAGTAAGAGGGTAAAAAGGTAAGTTATGCATGTGAATATCCTTTTTTAAAACTCAGAGTTTATTGGGGTATAATATATATTTGATAACATTAACTCTTTTAAGTGTATAACTTTATGAGTTTGGACAAATGCATACAGTCATATAACTGCCACCACAATCGAGATTTTCAATGTACATCTTAAACTAATCACAGTCTAGATTCAAGGAGTATTCTACTTCTTCACTGTGTGGTGTCCCAACTGGTGTACTAGGGTTATGGCTGTCATCTATTTTGCTTTTACATTTGCTACAAACCCACAAAACTACTGTACTTTCCCTATATTCATTCTTTTCCTTGTTTTCACTACTACTATTTTTAAAATTTAGCCAATCAATTATCTTTTAAAGCAATTAAAAGTCAGAAAAAGTCTTCTGCATTTATCTTCATTTTAACCATTTCTGGAATCTTCATTTCTTTGTGTGGATCCAACTTTCTCTCTGGTATATAGAACTTAAGCCTGAAAAACTTCCTCTAATATTTCTTATAGTCCAAGGCTGCTGGGTAATGAATTCTCTGCTTTTGTATGAAAAGTCTTAATTTCTCCTTCAGTTCTGAAAGATATTCACACTGTGTATAGATTTGTGGATTGAGAGTTATTATTTTTTCTTTCTCTCAGCAGTTTAAACATGCCAATTTGTCTTCAGACTTGCATAGTTTCTGAAGTCTGCTGTAATTCTTACCTTTGCTCCTTTGTATTTTGTCTCTGGCTTCCTTTAAGATTTTTCTCTTTGTCTTTGTTTTACAGCAGTTTAAATATGAAATGTCTGGAGGGGTGTGTGTGTGTGTGTTGAAAGGATATTTATCTGAGATAATGTTTAGAGATCTTTGGGGTTCTCTGAGCTTCCTGGACATGTGGTTTGACATATTTCATTATTTGGGAGAAATTTTTGGCCTTTATCTTTTCAAATATTTTTTTTCTACTCTATTTGCTTTCTTCTTCTTTTGGAAATCCAATTTCATATGTGTTAGGACTTTTGATATTATCCCTCAGTTCTTAAATGCTCTGTTTTGGAGTGTGTTTGTGTGTGTTTCATCCTTTTTTTCTCTTTGTGTTTCAATTTTGATCAATTCTTTTTCTATCTTCACTTTCACTTATTCCTTTCTCAGCTGTTTCAAGTCTGCTTATGAGACTGTCAAGGACATTCTTCAACAATACTACTGTTTTTCATTTCTAGCATTTCTACCTGACTGTTTAATAGTTAACATGTGTACTGAAATCCCCTATTTGTCTATTCATATTGTTCATATTTTTCATTAAAACATTTCATGCATTAATCATAGTTATGTTAAATTCTCTGTCTGATGGATTCAATATCTAAGTCATCTCTGAGGCTGGTTATGTTGATTGCTTTGTCTCTTGAGAATGTTTTTTATTTTGCTTTATTTCATAATTTTTATTTAAATGACATAGTATGTAGAACAGTAGAGATTAAAGTAAATAGTACTTATTTCTTGAAATGGGCACCCTTTTTCAGTTAGGTTGTTTATATGAGAATTCACTCAATCTAATAAAAAGATAAACTACATTTGAGTTATGTTTTTGATATGGTTACTCTCAGTTCACTACCATCTTCAGATTCCTCTAATACGTTGTGCATATGTGGGGGTTAGTCTTCTGGAGAGTTTTTCTGAATATCCCTGTTCTTTTCTCAACTTTCCATCTTCCCTGTCTATCTGTGCCTCAGACAGGTTCTCTCTCCATGTTGTTGCCCTCCCCTGATGGTATACTGCTATTGCTTCTTATTAAGTGCTCATTGGCCTGGTGGTGTGGGCAGGGAGAAATGCTCTGTTTTTATGCTTCATCCTCAGTCTTGTAAGATCCTGGGCCTCTGTGTCACAGGAGTGGGACTTTCTTAGTTATCCTTTCCCTCTTCTAGTGGTAGGATACTTCTAATTGTTTGGGCCCACAACTAATTCTTGTCCTTCCCCCAGAATTGGAGGACTTTTTTCTTTTTTTACCTTTCCCCAGCTGCAGTAGGTCTTCATCTTTATTCTGGGGAGAATACACTTTGCTGCCTTTCCCCTAGGGCTTAAGACTTTTATTCATGAAAGGGAAAGGAAGTGGATCTGGTTTCCTACCTTTTCCACTGCAGTGGCTACTCATCTCCAACAGATCTGTACCATAAATCTGCGTGTTTATATAAATTTGTCCTGTGTCTAAGGCTTCCAAGGGTTCTATACTCTCATGCTAACCCACGTTTGCTCTTTAGCCATTCACTAAAAAATTTGCATGCTTGTAACCAAAATATCTCATGCATCCCATAAATATGTACACCTATTATGTGCCCACGAAAATTAAAAAAAAAAAAAAAAAGAAAAATTTAGTTGAATTCTTTATACCTGCTTCTGTTGTGACCTTGTGTTCCCTCTACAGCCTACAGCCACAGGTGAGCTAGTGCTTATGTCCCATCTCTTTTTGCAGGTGCTTGTCTTTCTTCAGACCTCAGTCTAGTTGGTTGCCTTGAGACTTCTCTCTAG